TCAACTGTGCATCCTTACAACAAAAGTGCACCTTGAGGCGTTCATTGAAGCTGCTTCTTCCATAACCGTTACCCCAGGTAGCTCTCATAATCTTTGACCTATATATTTGTATTTTCGCTACTGCTCACAACACTATGATCAATCGAATACGATATTATTCCTCAATTATCATTAACAATTTTACTAGCACCTATATTAAAATAATGAAGTCTCCGCAATCTTCAAATCCGAAATTTCCTCATTAAATAAGTTAAGAAGCATTATTTGTGCACAAAAAGCATATGCTCTAAGAAAATTCGACCTTATCTTTATTGCTTCTAGGCTCTAGCTAGCTAGCTTGTTATAACTACTCAATTTCCAACTTACTATTGCCCTTATGGTCCATTTCAAAGTTAAATCAAATAAATTGTGATGAAAATTACACCAAAAATTTGGCATATACGCTAGTTAAAAAGTTAAATGATTCGTTTTTCTTAATTTCTAATTAATTAGGTTCTTTACGCAACGAAGTTAGGTGAAAAATGCAAATAGGGTAGCCTTTGTTCCTATTTTGTGTAAGAATATAAGTATTTTGAGTTATTTTCTACTTTATTTGCTTTGACTAAATAAACATTTTTAACTTTAAGAGTTCAATTCTTTAGGACTTTGTGTCGAATATAATTTTTATCTTCGAAGTTCTCATTTAATAAGATTTCAGATCTCGATGTTTCATCTTTTAAATAACACTTTAATCTCATTAGAAAATAAAGTTGGCTAGCTATCAACATATTTAAATTGTGTATTGGGATCTGTGAGAAATTTGTAGTAGCACGATCTCCTCCCCCCCCCCCCCCCCCCCGCCCCCTCTCTTCATTTATTTTCTTTGGACTCTTACCCTTTTTTTATTTCTTTTCTTTTAACAAATTATGATAGTTATCTGACTTTCACATGAGAGAAAGACTTCAATTAAGTACGCGGGGTAGTATGGCATATTTCAGAATTAAATTTAAATAATTTTTTATCTTGATTTGTTGAGATTTGACGGTGATAAATTTTATAACTTCAATCAAATAAAATTAACTTTTAGCCTAAACTTAATTATGAAATATCTCACCTTATATTGCAAATTTGAGATTATTTATACCACATCTCTGCTAAAATATTAGGTCAAAAGCTATAATCTCAAAATTATACTTTCAAAATAATTTAATCCTCGAATCAAACGAGATTTAACTTTTTACCTAAAAGTGGACGTGACAATATTTAACACATGCTCACCATGGACAAAGGGAGAGAACTTTACAGGACAAATTAAATTTGTTTTAGAGAACTTTATATTGTACAAAAATATTTGAGGAGCATTATCCTAAATGGATGAGAGCCATAAGTTTGTAGTGGGCATTACTATTGTATATGTCAATCGAAACCTAATTCCCACGTGATTATGGAGAATTTTCTTAATCAACTTATAAATAATTAAAGATTATCATCACAAAATATTCTAATGGGAATTAAGGGATCGAATCTAAAAGTGTTAAGCTTTTGGAGATAGATATTGCGGATCTCTTAACATGTGATTTAATTAATAATTATATTAATTGTATGTTAATCATTCCTTTCAAAATAAAATAATACATGCATAGATAAAAGAGGAAATTGAAGAGTTCACGGAATAGAAATAATTATTATGCATTAAAATATGAGTTAAACGTAAATATCTCAACCTTATTTTATTAGGAAAGAGACTTATGTCAAATAAGTAGGACAAATAATATTGGAGTTAGAATTTAAAATTTATAAAGTTAAGATTAGAATCTATTAGTATTACTGGTTGTAAATGGATAATTTGTATAAATATTTAATAATTTCTTAAATATAAATATAAAATCTAAATCAATATTATTCGGTTCGATCAAATTTATTACATACACATTTGCTTCGCCCCTAAAATAGAACCAAAGAGGGTTGAGTAAAATTTATAATTTTGGAATCAAGTCTAGTCCTATATATACGTGAAGCATATATATAGAATATATTCAATATTCTCAATCTAAATTATTTTGACGTCTAGATTTTGAATATATCACATATCACAACTCACAAGTGGCATGATAATATATGTAAAAGTACGATCACCTATAATAGTATACACAACACAGACTACAATTAGGAATGAAGTTAGAGGAATAGAAGAGGTTCATCATAATCAAAAACTTAAATTTTGGAGTCCCAAATTATTTTGAATACGATTCTCATAAATATATATTTACAATAAACATAAAATAGTACTATAAATATGGTATTACTTTTTATATATTTTTAAAATATATAAATTTTAATTCAAAAAATAAAAGTGCTAACCACAATCACGTTAAAGTTAAATACATTGATTCTCTTCTTAGAATTTCTCATTATTCTTTTCGGATATATATTCGAATAAAACTAAAAACTTTTGACACTCCAAATGAACATTTAATTTTATATGTATAGTGTAATATTCGCAGATATTAATGTAGCAAAATTCTAACGCATTTTCCTTTTTTTTTTTTGGGTACCTTTGAGTTTTGGGACAACTATTGAAAAATAATAATTTTGGGACAACTTTCGGCAATGGTAACAAAACAACTTTGAGTACCAATATGGATCGCACTGAGATGGTTGAGATTCCTTCGTCGTTAATTAAGGATATTAGGTTTGAGCCCTTATGTATTGAATAAATCTCGTTGAAAGTGCTGCTTTCAGAAATAAATCCTTCATTAATGTGTATATTTGAAGTAATTAGGCTGACCCTGATGCAAAACTATTATGCTCTGACGTGGATATCAGACACCATACATGAAATTTAAAAAAAGAAACAAAAGCAACTTTTGTTGGACCAGTTTGTCAATTTTGTAGGTCAGTTTTCAACAATTTTCACTTGCACAATAAAATTAATTCCTTATTATTCCTTTTCAAAATATTTCACCTGTAAAAGATGATATATGAAGAGGACCATATTCCACTCAACTTGAGATTTAAAGTGTAGTATTCCCACATACAATGAAAGAAAATGATGTATCAACATGCCAAGAAAGATGGAAGACACACACAATTTATTTTTCTTTCGAGCTCTGTTTTCTCTAGAAAAAATGAGTTAGAATCATGAATTTATGAATTTTTCGAGAAAAATCTTATATGCATTGAATATTTTCATTAAACTAATATATTCATCTCATGTATATAAATATATAGTTCTTTTACTTAATTATGATAAATTGTATTGATATGATATAAACATCGATTAAGTTTTTACGTCATAAACCTGTCAATAATTAATTGTTGTACAAATAAGTCAAAACACCCCCGACTTGTTGATGTAACACGTCCTTTTCATGGCTATCTATTTCAAAATAATATCAAGGAATTTGTCACAAATCACTAATCACATATCTCTTATTAAAAAGTTGTTGTTCTTTTTAATCTTTCTAAAGATCTTTCTCTTTCGCATCTTTGATAATATTCTCAAATTTATTCCTAATTTTCTTTATTTATATATATATGATCGTTACATATAGTAATGCTTCTACACTACGAAGTTCCTAATTTGTTTTTCTTCAAAACGTTTCGATATATGCCGTGATGTTCAATTCAAAATCATATTAAATTGATTGAGCATATAACTACATGCAATCATGCATAAATAGTACTAGAATAGTACACGTTGTGAATATGACTTTTCATATGACAATATTATGTAGTTTGCGAGTTGATCTGCAACCTTATTCAAATTCATGTAGTTATGGTCAATCCGAAGCTCATGTTATTGCAAGCGTAAATTAATGTTAGAATAGTGTGCGTTGAGACTTATGACAGTAGATGGATAGGATTTATTACGTTTTTAAGATGAGAAAACAAATTAAATAGAAAAAAAATAAACCTATAATATTATTCCAAATCAATTAGAGTATGTCATTATCATGGACCATGTATTACCATGACATCCAAAGTCGGATACATATTAATTCTCTACTCGAAAAAGAAAAGATTTATAAAAGGAAAAAGCTCAATGCACCAATTGCATGACCTAATTAATCTTTGCCAATTTAAACTCATTCCTTTTCTCTTTTCCACTTTATTTATCTTTTTGTGTTTTCGATAATCATATTGTAACTCACTAATTTAAATTTGCACAACAAGATCCATTTTTGAGGTCGGTCACTTCCCTCTTTAAGAATTTTCTATTTAAAGCTTAAATCTAAAATCGCTGATTAAAAATAAAATGATCTCATCCATTAATCCATAACAACCCTTATTGTTAATTTGTTTCTCTCTTTTTGTAATCTTTTGAACCATGCAAGTGTACTCAAATAGCTAACCAATCCAAGTAAGTCACAATCAATAGAGTATTCTTTGTAGTAGTGATAACCAGTTGAGCAATATTTTATCATATTCCATTTTACTCTATCCTAAAAGAATCTAACTCTGATTATTTGTCTAATTAATGCAAATGATTAAAGGATAATTGAGTCATGTCCCACTAGTCCAAAATTAAAAATAACATTGTTTAGTTTTAAGAAAAACAAAGAAATAGTGAAATTAATTAAAACACTTCTATTTGTAATAATGTTTTAGCTAATTATTCTAAAGTCAAATTAGTTTTTTACCATGATTTTCTACTACTCCTATTTTAGCATTTTAAACAATCATTATATAAAAATATAAGTAAATTATAGACATTATATTGACGTCACGTCATTAATTATATAAAATTCTAATATTGACGTCATTATTTTGACACCATTACAGTTGTTCTCTGTCACCGTCACCGGCTCACCGCAAACAGCCTGGTGCGGCGAAAATCAACATGCTCTCCTCAAAATTCGCCACGTGTCTACCTCAACCTCAACGCCTGTCATATTATCAAACCCTAAATCCCCCTTCTCCCACCTATATATATATATATATATATATATATATCCCCAATCTCTCCATTTCACTTCCTTCTTCTTCTCCTTACTGATCAGTATCAAAGTTTCCAGAATCAGATTCCTCCAAATTCACCAAAACCCTAACCCTTTTCCCCAAATTCACAAAAAATGTGGTTCCTTTGTTCCTCAATTCAACTGTTTTGAACACTGAATCAACTTTATCTGAATTGCTTTGTTTTTTATCGCCGGGTCGGGTCATTTGTGTATGAAAATGGCGGAGCCGATGAGGAGATACAGTGTTGGATACGCTTTAGCTCCGAAGAAACAAGCGAGTTTCATTCAAGTTTCCCTTGTGAACCTTGCTAAGGAACGAGGAATTGATCTCATAAAGATTGATACGGACAAGCCGTTGATTGATCAAGGACCGTTTGATTGTGTGCTACATAAAATGGACGGTGATGATTGGAAGCGTCAGCTGAAAGAGTACGGTTCTGAATTTCCTCAGGCGCTTATCATTGATTCCCCCGAAGCGATTGAGCGGTTGCATAACAGGATTTCGATGCTTCAGGCGGTGGGGGAGGTTGAAATCGACTGTGAAAATGCTTCGTTTGGGATTCCTAAGCAAACTGTAATCTATGATGCAAAGATGGTGTCGGCTATAAACCTTGAAAGTGAAGGTTTGGAATTTCCGGTGATTGCGAAGCCGTTGGTGGCTGATGGAAGTGCAAAGTCGCACAAAATGTTGCTTGTTTTTAACAAAGATGGGTTGAGAAAATTGAAACCACCTATTGTGTTACAGGAGTTTGTGAATCATGGGGCAGTGATTTTTAAGGTGTATGTGGTTGGTGATTATGTGAAGTGTGTCAAAAGGAAGTCTTTACCCGATGTGAAGGAGGATGGTTTAGGGAGATTAGAGAGTTACTTGCCATTTTCTCAGGTTTCGAATTTGAATAATTTTGAAAAGAATGATGATAAATACTATAAGTTGATGAATTTGGAAAATGCTGAATTCCCCCCTTTGAGTTTTCTTACTGATATAGCTAGGGGACTTAGGCGGGTGACAAAATTACATCTTTTTAATTTTGATGTGATTAGGGATGATAGAGTTGGAAATAGGTATCTGATCATTGACATTAACTATTTCCCTGGGTACGCAAAGATGCCGAATTATGAGTGTGTGTTAACAGACTTTTTCTGGGATGTTTTGAATCAGAATGATAAGAGCTTGGGGAGTTTAAAGAATGGTCACTGTGAAAAGGAAGATAGGGTTTTGGTTGGGAATAGCGGGTGTGGCGAGGATGAAGGAACATTGCCTGTTTCACCGCTTAAGATAGAAGAAAATGAGAACCCTATTCAGGTGTGAAATGTGAAGTGCAGAACTCAAACTGGTATTTGGTTGTGGGTAGCAACAGGTTGCTCTGCAAAATTTGCTGAAGTTCAAGCAAGCTGCAGAGACTTATTTTAGGTAGGGAGTTGGTACATCAGTTAATAAGTAGGTTCTTTGCAGTGATCATGTAGTCTGGAAACATTAGATGATTATCTTTGTTCAACTTGTACATTCTATCTTTGCAGTGAGATAGGTACCTTTTCAGATACTCTTTATCATGAAAACCAAGTTTTTCCTTCAAGGCAATTGTAATTCCTGGCTGAAAATATCTTAATATGTGCCTTTGGCAACTTTGATAAATGAATATTGCTGTTTATCTCAATGACTGTTCTTTAAAATATTTTCCCCATCATGCTGCTTTACAGGGTGGTCTTATTGCATATGAATTTTGTATTTTGAATGATGTCACTTACTGCTCATGTAATTTATTCTTGCAAGAGGAATCAGATCCCTGAGAGATCTATTTCTATGGCATCTGTATGGCAGACTCTTGATTGTCTCTCCCGTGCAAGTTATTATGAGATTGTTTGTAGAGGTTATTCCTTTTCCAAACTACATTTTTTATGTTCACCACAGTTCAAACCTTAATGTGGTAGCTTAAGACTAATTTATGTTGAATATCAGTATCTTTTCTTTGATAAGGTATTTTATTAATGTTGGGAAAATCAGCTGATTGTATTTTATGCTTTTTAGTCTTGTCAGATGCAAATTTAGTTCATCATGAGCCACAAGTTAAACCCTTGTTGCATGTTTTATTTTCACATAATGTGGGTATATCATTAAATCTTAGAGTTAGATTCACCAGTAGGTAAGGCTCGGCATGCCCTAATGTATCTCTTTATTTTTAGTGTAGTTTTCTCTTTTCCATTTGACTCTTGAGAGTAAATGCTGAATTCTGTTGCTGCTTTAGAGTTATTCGTGCACTTTTGCTATTTAAGCAATATGACTGGGACATGTCGGAAGAAAACTGTTAGTATTGGCTTTTTCCCCTAAGAATTTGCTGCCGACGTGTTTGTGTTCAGGGAACCCTTTGGCATAGACTCAATAGATTGTGTTAGTTGGCACGTTTCTTGAAGATTGATTAATATTAGGTTATTAGTTTTGCGTTGAGTTCATTCTTGTGCTGCACGGTTGTAAGACTGGCAAGGTTATATGATAGTGAATATTGAATTCTAATCTCCAACATATCTACAAGGCGAGTGCCATAGAAATGTGGATGTTAAGATTATTTGTGCAGTAAACACGATCAGAAATGATTACATTTAGCAATAAGTGCAAGTAACACATATAGAAGATAAAATGGAGAGACTGTCTTTTGAGACGGTTTGTTCATGACCTACATTGGCCTCCCTAGGCACCGGTCTGTAGGTGTAAAACCATGGTGATTGTCGGTGTTAAAAAGTGGCTGAGATACAACTAAAATTACATGGAAGGAGATTTGTTCCAAAAGATGAACAACCTCTTGAAATCCATATAGAATTAACGAAGAATAGGGCATAATGGAAGAAAAGGGTTCATACTAGGTGATACTAATTACGTAGTTGGATGAGGTTTAGTCATGTTTGCACATTACCTTAGGTCCAAAATTAGAAATGTTCTTTTGTTCAGTCCAATGTCACCGAGCTTCCCTTCTTTACATCCAATTAAGACTTGGGGAAATGGAATGGAGGAAGTCCTAGGGTTGGTCCCACTTTCAGGGTATTAGAAGAAAGGATGTAGACTCTCTTAAGTAGGAGCTGCTCTCTTCCATTGAGAAGGTAATCAAGATTGCTAGTGAGGATTAAAAAACAAAATTATGAATAATTTTCCAGAGTGACAGTTTTTGAATCATTTGGGCATTTGTGTTTTCCTGCATCCGCAGGCATAGATTTAGCTCTTATTCAAAAGTATCTGTAGATGTGCACATACAGATCGAGAAAATAATGATTGTTAAACTTGTGGTGATGTATTTGCCATAGTGTGGGGTGTTATTATCTTGTGGATCGTTTTCCTTGTGGGTTGAAGCAGACACTTGATGTGAGATGAAGAATGTTCATAATGAATTACTCTATTGTAATTCGTTCTAAAAGAATGTTTGGAATGAGTCTTTTAGTCTCGTAGAGATGTACAAGCTAGTAATGAATGTAAATAGCTTCAGGTGTAAGAGAACTTAAATTTTTAAATATTGGATTGAGACAGGTCTAAATGGATTCATATATTTGACTCAACTAACTTAGGGTTGAGTCATAGTTATTGTGGTTGCTATATTATGTATCAAGTTAGTGTTTTAGACAAGAGTTACCACTTTCAAATAGGGAATGTTCCGTAAAGATATTGGTTATGCGGGGACCTTTCCGGATCATCTGTATCTTGTGATTCTGAGTTACGGTTACATCTTACCCGCATTGATATTTTTCCTTTCATGTAAGAGCCTTGTTTTGGTTAATGTTTTAGACTGAAAGCTTTGTCTTGTTTCTTAAAATTGCATGTATTCTCCTGCTGACTTGTTTTATTTGAAGTTTTAATCGTAGACGTGATATGTGTGATTTGGCATGAGAAACTCTTGGTAGTTCTTTGATCTTACTATTCTGTGTTCCGTTCTTTGTTGGATATACTAAAATAAATGCTAGCAGTTTGATGGAGGATTGTATGCATCTTTTTCATTTATCATTGTATTTTCATGTTTAGTTACATAACTGCTGCAGGGTTTGGATTAGTAAACCTTGGTTGCTCGACGTCAATACACAAGGATGATATCAGTTCACATGAGTTGCATGGATCAAATTGGCAGCAACCTGAGTGCTGACGACTAATCAGGTGTAGGTATGAGATGCCTGCTGTGTCAGTTCCTTCTCTCGTACCAGTGCATCGTCACATCTCCTCATGCATAGCATGCGTCTCTGCAGTTTCATGATCTTGCACCATGTAAAAACTTGTGCTGTAGATGTAAAGAGTGAAAATGTACCATAAGGGGGGTTAATCAATCACCTTCAAATCGTGGCAAAAAGTTGTTACGAGTCCTGACTTCCCCTGACTTGTGCATCATTTCCGATCAGATGATCCATTAATCCGACTAATGGAATTTGGAGGATTATAAATGGATTGATTTTATTTTTTTTAAAATTCCATTGGAGATTCAACATGTTACTTTTTCTGCTTGCTTTGACATGTATCATTCTTGGTGTCTGCACCTTATTTGCCAACTACCAGATAGCTTTGGGATCGAGGTTCTGCGGTGTTGCACTGTTGATAAATGATTTGAATGTTAAATCTGGTACTTTTCGTTGTGAAAGCGAACAAAATTGAACATTTCTGTCAACTTATATTTTACTGGTTTACAGATTTTATTTGTGTTTCAGTTGGATATGAGTATCTTGCTTTGACTTCATTTGCTAAACTGTCATCTGGTATTTTTCATTTACTAAGAGTGAGCATAGTAGACTCACACAATCAAAGGGAAATATAACAACAAAAGCATGTTAAATATTGAAATATTTACTCAAAAAGTGTTAGCTATCTCCACTGTCAAATGAAAGGAGGACCAGAAACATGAATAAACTATTTTGGAGCAAGTCAAAAAACTATATGAGACTTTCATAAGTTTATTTTCAGAATTTTTAAGTGAAGGAGAGAGATGAGACTTGCTAGGATAATTCAGGAAAGTTATGTATTAAGAAACATAATTTATTCTTATGAGACTTTCATTACTTATGCCGATACTTGCGAAATTAAGTGATACTTTAATGCTTCAAGTTTCATTAAAAAAGAAGTAGCTACCACTTCATCTGTGCAAAAACTTGATTAAACGGGCTTGACCAGTCCTGAGCCAAAAAAATTGAAACCAGCCCGTGTAAATTGTAATACTCTACTTGATTTTTGGGCCTTGCTTCTGGATTTACGTACAAAATCTTGTTCCTATTGTATAATATAATAGAGTAATAATTAATAACCAAATATCCCCCCAGGTCAATTCATAGCTAAACAAATGTTACAAAGCAACGTGTCAAAAAAATGTTATGGCATATTTCAGACTATAAGTTTTACAAGTTTTTTTAAGTTTTGCGCCTCGTCGTATAAACTAGCATAAATTAAAATGGAGGGTGATTTGTATTTGTGAGTTCGTTTTTCTTATTGGTGTACAACATTTTCATGAGGAATATCAAACACGAAAGGATCTCTCATGCAATCTATATATGAAAATGGAAGTCGAGTATTAGCTTATAATGTTCGGTACGAAGAAAAATGTTATGGTTAAGACAAGTACATTTGTATTGATAATTGAAATGTCAAAACCATCCTTAAATTTGAATTGGAATTTCAATTAATAAACAGACATGTCGATACCATTTTTTTAACTCATACCAGGATTAAGTCAACACAACAACAACATGCCCAGTGAAATCCCACTAGGTGGGGTCTGGGGAGGGTAAAGTGTACGCAGACCTTGCCACTACCTCGTGGAGGTAGACATACCAGGATTAAGTCAATGCATTATATTATGTCTTCAAACATTTTAATATCTAAACAAAGGTATTTAAAAATATTGAAAATGCCAACTTTTACAATGTTGAACTCGTGCTTGCACAAAGTATATTACATTGAGGAAAAAAAAAAAAGGTACACAAAAATTAACATAAAATTGAAGCTGCATCACATGTCTATATATATCTACACTAGAACAACACAATTACAATTAATTCAAAAAATAAAATCTTCAAATAATATTTTCTTCATCATCCAGAATTTTTTCCAATGCATAAAAATCATCATAATAACTTGGATTAATCATATCAATAATCTGCTGATCAAATGGTACTGAATTCTCAGGTGTAACTGGAACTAGTGAAGGAAGTGATGAATATTCTGAATTATTATCAACATTATTAATCATATTATTCTCCAAAATACTCGAATTTACGACCATATTGTCCGATAAATTATTTGAAATTGGAGAAGGTTCATTAGTAAGAATTTGGTCATATGGAGCAATAATATTATTGTAACATTGTTGCATGGGGTAATTATTTTCTTGTAAAGATGGAATTAATGTAGGAAGAGGGGTATTTAGGACTTGAATTATGTTTTGAATAATATGGATTTTGGCTATTTCTGTCAATTCAGCTTGTAATCTAAGAGCAGATTCAAAAGGGTTCATCAAATTAGAAAGGCTAAGAAGTAAGTTTGGATCAGTTATTGGTTGATGTGTTACTGGATCAATTCCTGACTTGAGAAGTTTTTTCTTCAGATGAGTATTCCATAAATTCTTGATTTCATTATCAGTTCTTCCCGGAAGATGAGATGCAATTTTTGACCACCTACAAAATATAATATAATTATGTTAAT